GTCACTGTCTCACACTCCACCATACAGGCTTCCAGGGTCCTGAGACTTGGGGTCCCTAATGGCCTGCGTTAGGGTCTTAGGGGACCTTGGGTCAGAGCCACCAGAGGTCAGGACAGCAGCAGAGAAAGGAAGCTGGCTAAGGTGAAAGAACAGTAAAGCAGTAAGATGCAAACTTGTGTGAACTGGATCAGTACCGGAAACAGGGAAGGGGTGTGGGCGGGGCAGGAGGAAGAAACGAGGGGAAGGTAGAGTTTCCCTTCCCCAAATCCCCCGCTGAAGACCTCAGGTCAGAAACCATCCATGCCGGGGCTTTCTCATCATTCCTTGGTCAGCACTAAACCACCTATGACAAGTTTGAAATCCCCTTTGTACCTGGGACGGTGTGCTTGGGAAACACGCCAAGTCACGCCCAGGGGCCTTGCATCCCGGTCAACTGCAAGATGTGTACTAATCCTCAGAGCAAGCGCGGATGGGACTGGGACTCACATCCGCTTACAGGGGCCCTTCATGGCTTTCGCGAGGACAAATATCCAGGCTGAGGAAGAACACCCATCGACCTACTCCAGCTTCTTGAGATGACACATCTACCCCAGACCTACGATGTCCTCTAGTAAAGAAATACATCCAACCAGACGGTGGGCGCAGGTTCGGATGCCGTCAGCACAGGACAGGGAGAAGACAGGAACAGGGCTGGCCCCATCGAGGTCGGGGTAAACTGAGGCAGCGGCCCCCGGCTTGGCCAACCACTGGGCCCACCATTTCCAGACATTTTTCCAGAGAAACTGATTTTGCACATAAAGCTTGGTGATTTTGCTTTGGGGGCCAGCAGGTGACATGGTGGTTAAGGCATTAGATCCCACATGGCTGACCGTATGGATCAAGTCCCAGACCCAGAGGCTTGAAAACCACACCATGCACGTGTGCAGGTGTGCCCAAAATCCCAAGAGGAGAATGGACGCTCCTAGGGGGTGATATCTCACCTCCCTCTGGCAAAAACCAGAAAGGAAGGGAAGGAGGGAGGAAGCACAGAAGAAGGGAAGGGAAAGCTCATGTTTTTTGTTTGTTTGTTTTTTTAAACAGCATGGAGCAAACAACACACAGCCTGCTATATTTGCAAATCAGTGACAAGATAACAGTATTAAAAGCCTCGATACTGGACCAGTAGATGGCATAATGGTTACTTCACTGGACTCACATGTAGACAACCACGGTTCGAGTCCTGGATCCGGTGGCTTAAAACTCATGCACAGCACAGCACAGAAAGAGCAGAATCCCACACAACCAACCACCATTTGAATCCCTCCCACGGTGGCTTGAGGAAGACTGTAGGCACATGTACACGTGTGCCCAGGACCCTGACGGGAAGAGGAAAGAAGGGGCCTGCGACGTGACCAGGTCCCACTGGAGATGAGGTCTCTCTCTCTCCAGTGCACACATGCCCTCCGGCGTTAGAAGAGAAGAATGGACTCTCCTCCATAAAAACTTACAGTCACCTAGAAATAACGATTCACTTCAGTCCACTCTGAGCCGACGCAGGTACCACAGGGGACAGGAGCTATGCACCTATGGCCCATGATGAGCTCATGTGAAGAAAGGCCAGTCTGACGGTTGTCTATAGTGTCCCTAAAACAGGATCCAGTTCTGAATTAGAGAGCCCCAACTATATTCTGAACCATCAAAATTCTACTTCAAGAGCACACTTCAGGGCTGGCTTTGTGGCACAGCAGTATCGCACCGCTCAGGAGAAGCCAGATTCTACACGGTTACCGGGGTTCAAACTCCAGGCTTGATCGGCTGAACCATGCTGGTCATGCACGTAAGCACCCAAGAGCCAACGGACTGGAGGCCTGGAGAAGGGGACTGTGACATGACCAGACCTTGTGGAGAATGCTCCTCTCTCTCCTACATGTACACACACGTGCTCTATCATGAATAGATAGAAAGAAAAAAAAAAGATTCTACCTCGTTGGTTAATTAAAAAACACTGATGGAGGATTTCTTTCTGAAGTTCCAGCTCTCTGCAGCCATTTGCAATGGGTTTGGTTCAAGGTCACTGGGGACTAGAGGAGAAGCACGTTCATTTTTGGTTTTCCCTTCCAAGAAAAGAATCCTGCAAAGACGGTGGTAAGGCAGGACCCTGAGAAGGTCGGCCGCGTCTGCTAGGGCTTTGCACACAGTGTCTGGACGCTTCCCAGGGTGAGAAAAGGAGGACGGGGCAAAAAAAAAAGGTGCTGCTAAACTTGGAAGATACACAGCTCATGAACATTTGGCTCAGAACAGAGGACCACGGGGACTAGAGGAACTGAGAACAGCCACAGACTGAGGCCGGCAGGTGGCGCAGAGGTTAAGGCCGCTGGGTCTTGCATGGCTGACAACATAGCTTGAGTCCCAGACCCGCTGGCTCTTCATGGCTCCTGCTATTTCTCTCTCTCGCTCTCTCTCTCTCTCTAGGTCAGCACATGTGCCCAATGGCAGAAATCTAAAAAAAAAATTAAAATAAAAAGCTTAAAACATTATTATATTTTTTTAATATGAAAGAATTTATGGAGAAGACAAACTATTAGTGGGTTAGGTCCAGCCCTGACAGGACAGCACCTCCTCACACCAAGAAACCAACGCTTACAAAGCTGTGTCACCACATCCACGCGTGCACACACGCGCGTGCGCACACACACCACCTTCTGCCCCGCTCACAAAGCTGCCCAGTGTCCTGGAAATGCTTGCTCAGCCATCTGCGGAACCGTCTCTGGTCAGATTATATCACTCCATTTCCGCTGCGAGCTACTGTAGGGGCAGGGAGGGCCCGGCACCCCTTGGGCTGTAACCGATAGCTGGATAAAGACGCTTCAAGGCTCTGCGAGTGGAATGTGCACAGGAAACAAATTTAGGAAATCCTGCTTTCTGTTACAGGAAAGGAATCCTGCACCAACTGGCAGAAATTACCCCAGCGGCCCCAAAGCAAAATGAATACTGTTCTGTATGCCTCCCATAGAATGACCTTGCCTAGGTCGCGATGCTTTATTGCTATTGAATTTCAAAGGTCCAATCCTAGAGCTGGCAGAGCCTCATGGACTCCTACAGGGATTTGCAAACAGTGCAGCTTTCTGAAAGCTCCCACTTGAACTAGGTTTAGCCTCCTTCGGGGTCTATGATGAATTTATATAAACATACATGAGTTTTGCAGTACGGGGCCTCTAAAATGGTGTAGAAGGTGACGCGTAAGGCAGTAACAGCAACCTTTAATTTTGTGTTAGTGGGATTATTACTTTTTCTTTTATCTACAGTTTCACATGTCTACTACAGACACAAAATAACTACAATAAAAAATAACAAAGTTGTAAAAAAAAAAAAAATGATGCCGAATAAGGTAAAGGTGGCCTCTGTGAAGACATTAAAGGCCAAAGAAAATAACCTCCTTTTTTTTTTAATCATAACCAGAATCTTAGAAAAACACAACAAATCTGAGTCCAAGTGGAATTAGTAGACAGTGAGAAAAAAGAACTATCCACTTTGCAAAAGAGGACTGAAAAGGACAGAGCCTTGGGCCTTGCATAAAAGATCGACTCCCATGGGAAAACCTTTGCAAAGCCTTAAAGCAAACACATTGCTTCCCAGGGAACAGAGGTATGTGGGACAGGCTTTCAAGACCTCCAGAGGTGCAAATCGACAGCCGAACGGGTCCCAGGAGCCCACGGGCAGAAACGCTCATCAGACTGGCAACATCTGGAACTTGCTCAAATCTGAATTCCATCAAGGACCTGTAAGTTACTGCTCCCCAGCCTGTATCTCCCAAGAACATGCTCTGTTCTCTCGGCTGTCACTCCAGGGTACGGAGCTTCCATTTCCAAAGGGAAAATGACGAGAAACCCAAAAAGGTCTCGGACCCAAGGGCGCCAGTCCCCATGGATGGGTGGGGCCATCCAGAGCTATCGCCCACTGCCATCTCAGAGGTGAGCGAAGACGCAACATTTCTCACTCCTAAAAGACCCAGTTCAAATGTCAATTGTCACGGATGGCCTGGATTTCATAGCCTGAGCTGTTCTACAAACACTGTGAGGACTGGAAGGAGGAGTCTCTCAGGTGACAAATTCCACTGCCTCAAGAAAGAAGAACTAGGACGGGAAGGGGACATTTACGAACTTTGAGAAAGATCCTTATACTGTCCCAAGGCCTGCCATTAACCACAAACTCACTGAGTCTCAGATCAGTCCAGTCCTTCACAACCCTTCAATCACTCAGAGATGCCCCCTCCTTCCTAAAATGAACGAAAATAACTGGCAGTCCTTATAAGACTAGTAGAAGGACAAATGGCAGGGAAAAAAATTGGGGGGTGGGGTGGGCGGCAGCTGGTGTGATGGTTAAGGCAGTGGATTCCCACACAGCTGACTGTGGTTTGAGTCCTGGACCTGGAAACTTGCTTTCTCACTTTCCTTCTCTTTCATCAAATTTAAATAATAATAATAAATAACATTAGATCATTCTTAAAAAATAAAAATCTGGGAAGCACCCTGGTGATTGGTTTTATGACCCTTAGAAATGTTCATTCAGGGGACCAGCAGGTGGCATGGTGGTTAAGGCGCTGGACACTCCCACGTGGCTGACCATGGTTCGAGTCCTGGACCTGGTGGCTTGCTTTCTCATTTCCTCTCTCTCTCACTCTCACCCTCTGTCTCTCTCTGGTCACATTAAAAAATAATAATAATAAGTGAATGAATAAATAAAATAAAATAATTATAAAAAAAAAAGAAATGTTCATTCAGGGGGACTGGCAGATGGCGTAATGGTTATGTCACTGAACCTCCACGTAGTTGACCACTGTTCGAGTCCCAGACCCAGCAGCTTAAAACTCACACCAGACATGTCTGCATGCGTGCCCAAAGTCTCGAGAGGAGAATGGAGAAAGGACCGTGCCATGGCCATCCCCCCGGAGGGTGATTTCTCACTTTCAGTCTCTCTGTCTCTCCAGCAAGTGCATACACCCTATTGCAAAAATCTCTCTAAAAAAGAAAGAAAGAAAGAAATGCTCATTCAAGGGCTAAGTGGTGGCACATGACTGGACCCAATGGGATAAGTCCTGCTTTCTCCACCGTAGGCCCTGAACACAGGAGTAAAACAGGTCATGTCCGCAGCTTGTCAGCTTATTCTCCAATGGTAAGAGAACTTTGAATAAAACAAATGTGAAAAAAAATGTTAATATCTAAGGAATCTGAGGAAGCGCCAATAAATGGGACTCTCTGCACTAATCTAGTAACTTTTCTAAGCCTAAATTATTTTAAGAATCTAAAAGCTAGAAAACAAACAGACAAAACCCAGGTGGCTTTGGGATGAACAACCTCTCCGCCATGGACCTTCCTCTTCAGCTGCTGGAGGGCTCGGAAAGACAGAACAGGGAGAGCACTTGGCACGCGGCCTGCCGTCACCAAATCCTCAAGGACAGGAGCTACTGTAATCCTTCACAAGCCTTCGGGGAGCGGCAGGGCATCCCGGAGTCTCTGCCTGGGCTCACCTCGTCTGGGCTGGATGCCTGGTACACGCGGCAGGAGTCCTCATACTGCTTCTCAGCCTCAGCCTGGTCGGTCACGCCGTTGGACTCGTACACGGGCGTCACATTGTGACACAGGGCGATGGCCTTGACGGCCTCGTGCACGCGGCTGCTCATGGTCCGCCGGACCTTGGTGGTGACCGTGGGGCCCTTCTGAGCAGGTGGGTCCTGGGATTGCTGCGGGAAGGAGAAATGATAAGGGAGATGATCGGAGAGGGAAGGTCTGGAATGTGTGGACGACAATCCCCCGGAGTGGCACCCTCCTTCCCACCATGCCATCAGCCTGACCCTTAGGTATGGACATGCTGTGATAAAGGACAGCTAGCTCTCGGGATCCTGATCGATTACGCCAGATGCAAACCAAAGAGGAAAAATGACAAGCGCATGGATGGGAGTGACCCTCCCCCTGGGCAGTGACTCTTCTCCCTTGGGTGCCAGGAGCCTCCGAGAGACTGAGGGCTCTCTGCACCGAGAGCGGCAGGTGCTTCTCAGCAGGGCTCCACTGGGCACTGCTGACATGGGCGGATCATCCTCTGCAGAAGAGGGTCGTCCTGTGCACTGCTGGACAGTCA